CTGTTCCCCGGCGCCCGCACTCCCCCTGGGTGCCCTCGGCCCTCCGGGGCGCGGGAGCCGGCGGGCAGGCTCCCGGCAGGTCCCCTGGCTCTCGCACAGCGCGCGCTCGTCCTCCATCGCGTTCCCCTCCTTCCCTCCGCGGAGGCCGCAGCCCGGAGCCCGGGCGGGTCGGCGCAGCCCCCCGGCTCCCCAGCCGCCCGGGAGGCGGGGCCCCTCGCGGCTCGGAGGGTCGAGGCTGCAGGGGCGAGCGCGCCCCAGGTGCGAGTGTCCCGCAGCCGGCCAGACCGGGGCCGGGGGGGAGCGGAGGGGGGGTGGGGAAAGCAGTAACTTTCTTCGAGTTCGCAGCCGACACCTCCTCCCCGCGGGCCTGCGTCTGGGGCGGCGCACAGCTCGGGCCCCCGAGTCCTCCCCCGAAGCACGCGCGCCCCGCCGCCCGACCCCATCCCTACCTCGGACCAGGATCCGGCGGCAGTAATCCGGGTCCGCGGCCGAATTGGATTTACTTTTGTTACAGTCCTCCGCGGCTCCCGACGCGGAGAAGGCGCCCTGCGACTCCTTGAGGAAGGCGGCGGGGAGGTTCCCGTCCGCACCCTTGCTCTCCCGGCTCTCCTTGTGCGCGTTCTTCGAGACCCGCGCAGCCTCTGCGTCCGAGTGGCACCGAACGTCCATTTTGTCTGGTTTCCCGAACATGGGGGGGGGAAAAAAAGGAAAAAGAAAAAAAGAAAGAAAAGAAAGGAAAAAAGAAAAAAAAAAAAAAAGGAGGCACCGCGGGGACAAAACCCTACAAAGGAGCCCCTGCGCCCTGCGCAGGGACAGGCAAGCGGCACGAATGAATGTCCCCGCGGGGCGGCTGCGGCGCCGCGGGCGGGTCAGCGGCGCCCGGAGAGCCGCGCGCTCGCGGGGAGGCGGCGGGTCTGATCCCGGGTCCCGACGGAGCCTCGGCGAGGCCGCCGCGTCGGCGTCCGCGTCCTCTGGGCACGTCCGGTGTCCCCAGCCCGGCGATCAGGGAGCGAGCAGAGCAACTCCGAAACGCTGCGGCTCCCGCCTGCGACTGAGACGGCGACTTGTAGCTGTCCGACACCCGCGGGGACGCGCGCTCGCTGTTGCAATTGATTACGGGTAATTTCGCAGCCCCCACGTTTCGGTTACCTCATGAATACACTAAATTGTTTGGATAATATATCAGATCGTAATGGATGGTTTCTGTCCTTGTCCCCAATCAAGTAGGGGTTTAGCCGGTGGATAAACGGAAATGACTGCTCTTGCTTTCAGGAAACACACAATCAAAGACCCACACTTCCAGAAAAACTTTTGACAAGATTCATCCTGAATTGTTAGTACCATTAGCAGGCATTATTAACTTTCCCTTTGCCTTTGACCCTCCTGCTCACACACCGGCTAGAGGGGTTTTCTGCGCACTCGACAGATAGAGCTGAATGAGGGAGGAGGGGGGAGGGAAAAAGAAAGCAACAGAAACCCTCACACACCCTGCTGCGGAAGAAAGAGGTTGCCTCTGGGGGAAAGGGGGGGAGGGAGTAAAAGTTTTCCCAAAAAGTATCTCCCCCCCGAACTCCAAAAGCCAAGCTTTCGCCCCAAATCACTCCTTCTTAACACACCTCGACGCTGACAGCCATCTTAAACGGCCACCTCTCTCCATTTAGTGTTCCCGTTGGGGTTTTTCACGCCCGCACCTCCGGCAGCCCTGAGGCAGCCCATTCAAAGGGCAGCTTTGTGCTCAGAGTCCAGCAGGAGAGGAGGGGGGGGGGGAGAGGGAGAGGGCCGAGAAAAATCTCAACTGTGAGTTCTGCTTCAAAAAAAAAAAAAAAAGTTTTCCCCTAGCTATTTCATTGTCTCTGCTACAATATCTTTGAGAAAAGCAACAGCCAGTAATCCAATAAGAGCATTGATTAGGCTACAATGATTCAATTCAAGCGCATGGCCTTGTGCAAGGAGCAAGCTCCAGCCCTTCTCGTCACCTTGCCGGGGCAGAAGCCCTCTCCACGCCGCTCTCCCCATTCATTCCTTTATGGGAAATGCGGAGCAAAAGGAGTGAAAGATGGCAATTATCTAATTGGACTATTAACAAACAGTCCTCTGAGTGCGGCGGTCTGGCGTGGCTCCTGGGCGGGGGAAGGGCCGTGTTCCCTGCCCTCATTCACAAAGAGTGCAGGGGCCGGGGAGGAAAGGGGGTTTTTTAAAGGGAGTGGGGTGGGGGGGGGGAGAAGAGGTGGGAGGTTTGGCTGAGAATTTTTCCACACAATTCGCAGAATGGGGGCGGAGGCGGGCGGGGAAGAGGAGGGGGCCGGGCGGGGGTGTCAGCGAGCGGGTGGGAGAGAAGCGGGCGGAGGGGGTGCGAGTGTGTGCGGTGGGCTCCGAGGGGCCCCCGCCCGCCGCCCGGCGCGCTCCGCCCGCCGCGCGGTCCCGCCGCCACCCTGCTCGGCCTCGTGGAGCGTCCGCGAGTGGGAGGGGCCTCTGAGCCGGGTCCTTCGCGCCCTCCCCTCCCCTGGCGCCCCCACTCTTTTGGGCCCCTCGCAGGACCCCAGCTCGGTCCGGTTCCGGAGGCCGCCTCTGGCCCTGGAGGCAGACCTTGGGCTTTTACTGTATTTGATTGTGTGTGTGTGTGTGTGTGTGTGTGTGTGTGCGCGCGCGCGCGTGTGTGTGCGTGTGTGCGTATGAGTGTGTGTGTGATTGTCCTGAGCTACTCTCCGCAGGGAGGCGGGTTTCCCGGGCCCGGCAGACGGGTGGCCTGTCAGTCCTCTGGGCTGTCGCCAGCTGGGCCTCCGGATGGACAGTGCTTTTGATTCCGCGCTCTGCCCTGCGGTTCGGTGGGGACGGGTGGGTGGGTGGAGAGGGGGACGCGTCCCTGCGGCCGCCCGGGTCTGAGGATGTAGAGCGGGATGGAGACAAAATCCAGCCAACTCTCCAGTTACTTCCCGGGTTGGCGCCCCGAGGCCCCAGGGCTCCGCTGCCTAGAGGGTCGTGCGAGAGAAAGGCGCAGTCGCCGGGTCTCGGCTCCCATTATCGCGTAGCCAGAGCAGGGCCCGGAGATGCGAGTCCTCCAGAAGGGGATCCGGGCGGTGGATGGGGCCCTCGTTTCCCCGCAGAGCTCGGCCGGAGGCAATTCCCGGCGCCTCCTTCGGTGAGGAGACGGTGGGGTCCCAAATCCCGGCCCCGTGGCCCTTCTCTGCCGCATGGCCGGCTGTGGAGCGCTGTCCCACTCTCAGACAGCTGGCCCGGCCACCTCCCCAACCTCTCCGGGTCCCTTGCGCAGGAGGATTTGCCGCCCACCTCAAGAGACCCGGGGGCCGTGGAAAGTCCCAGACCCAAGCCTTGGCCTTGGGGGGGGGGGGGGGGGTGAGTGGCTCATCGCTCCCAGCTAGGACGCCTCCTCCTTTCTACGAAGGCAACCGAGGCCCGCGAAACCCACACGGATACTTGCAGCACCGAGTCAAAGGCCCAGAAAAGAATCTTTTAAAATAAAAATACCCAACCCACCACCTCTTCTATTAGGTGGAGGAGGGGAACCGGCCAGGGAGTGAACTGCAGCCCTTAGAAAAGTCTGGCGCAGTGGGTAGTGGAGGCCCAGGGAGGTCCGGGGCTGCATATCAGGCACCACAGGATACGCCAAACTACCACCAAATCCCAAATACCGATTTGAAGTTAGGCGTCACAGACACTGCCCCTCCCTGGGTGATGAGAGGGTGGGGAATCAGTGGCAAATTTTGTCCTAAGTGGAACTATTTACTGAGCCGTCACGTAGGGGTGCATAAACCCATTTAATTTTCTTAACCCCTCCATCAGGAAGGTTAATCATATCCCAGTTTTATAGATGGAAAGAAAACAAAAACAAAAACAAAGGCTCAGAGAGATTCCCTAACTTGCCCCAGTCATACAGCTGGGAAGTGCAGAATTTGAACTCCAAGGTACTTCTGCTCTTCTCTAACAACCCTGGGGGCTTTGCTCTTTTTATTCCTGCTTTGAGTTTTTGGATATCCAGGTGCTAGAGACATGTATCCAAGATACAGAGCAATGACCTTAATGTCAGTGCCAGGAATCCTGATGATTAAGCGTTGTTTTTCATGGATTTTATCAAAACAACGTGAAATACAAATGAAACACGAACTCCTTGTTTGTGACAATGCTATTTATTTCTAGGCACGAGCATTTCTTAGGAGTCTATCACTGCCCTCCCCCCCTCCCCCACATCAGGCTGGCCTGGAGTGAATAAAATAGTTTCCCGGATCCAGACCTACTGAATGAACGTCAGAGAGCAGTGTCCAGGAATGTGCATTTTTAGCTTCCTAGCAAGGTATCTTTCCACAAGGTGGAAGAACTGTATCTTGTAAAGCTGGAGGGACATTGCTAAGTTTCATGAGAGCTGGGATGTCTTTTCCTCCCCACTTACTGGAAATGCACATGTTTATTGGAGAGGGGAAGAACTTGGGATATTATGGGAACACGCCTAGTTTAATTAAGCAACCATTTACCAAGAGCTTAGACGTGTCAGGACCAGGGCTGGATCCTGGATGGCAGCTGAAGAAGATATAGGGCCGCTTCCCTACAGCTTCACGTGCAAACCCTTTACCAAGAGAACTCATGGGCCCTGGCTTCTCGTGGCTAGGGGTTGATGGCACAAGCGATGCCTCTCTACGCTCTGAGCCCTTGAAGTAACCAAATTCAATAAAGAAACACTCAACCCATAACCTGGTTTTGCTTATTGTTATGCATAGTACATTGTGTGTGTGTGTGTGTGTGTGTGTGTGTGTGTGTGACTGGATTAAAATTCTGTGGGCATCCATCCAGAAAAACCATGACAAGTTTCCGCGAGGACACAGTGGAGGACGGAAAGCCCTGGGATGGAAATTTCAGAGAAGCAGCTGTTACTCCCAGCAACTAAAGCTGTGTGTCCACTGGGAGAGAAAGGAGAGAGAACTCAATCAATTATTTGGACAATGTGCGACAAGCCTCCACTCCACAGCCCAATGAGGACACAGGGCTGCTCCAGGTAAATGTGGTTTATTCTCATGACTACATTTGCCTCCACCCTCCGGTGCCCTTCCTCCCCCCACGTCACTGTCTGCAGGTGCAGACAGACCCAGAATAGAACTGTAGAGCTGGAAGGGGTTTTTAGAGATCATCTATTCCATAACCTTCATTTGACTTGACAGATGAGGAAAATGAGCCTGGAAAGACAAAGCAACTTGTTAAGGATTAGACAACTAGTTAGTGGGGGCATCTGTGCGACAGTCATGGTCTCCTGACAAAGCTACACTCCCACCAGCACCCAGTCTTCCCAGAACCTGAACAAGATGAACGCTCTCTCTGGGATTGGGTGAAATGATGCCCGATAAATGAACTAAATCACAATCAGAGCCTTGAGGGTGCTTTTCACACGCCCTGCCTTCGCCCCGTCACCCCATCTGAAAGTAGGATCAGAGATGGTACATACACAGTGCTTTCCTTCCCTACTTTCATTTTTTTTTTTATTTCAGGAAGATGTAGGAGGAGAAAATATGCTGGCAGAAAATCTGAGCTCCTCTGAGATTATGAGTGGTTTGGGACAGCATAACTTAATGTCTGAGACATCATTTTAAAAGGAACTGCATCAGAGGAGATGATACAACCCGAAATTAAGTTTCCCTGACAATGAATCAGAGCACCTGATAATAATGACTAATTAAAAACAAGAATACCTAGCATTTATGCAGATATTTTCATCCCGGCCAAAGTCGCATGTGCTGATGAATTCCATTTTATCTAATTGCCGCCATCCCCATTTCATAGAAGGAGGTTAAGGCACTGGAGAAGCAAATTAATTAAGAGCTGATGCCGAAACCTGGTGCAGCCACTCTGGAGAACAGTTTGGAAGTTCCTCCAAAAGTTAAAAATAGAACCACCCTATGATCCAGCAATCGCACTACTGGATATTTACCCAAAGAATACAAAAGTACTAGTAAATAAATTACTAGTTTATAGTAATATAAAGTATCAAAGGGATACATGCACCCTGTTGTATAAAGCATCATTATCTATTATAGCCAAACTATAGAAGCAGCCCAAGTGTCCATCGACTGAGGAATGGATAAAGAAGATGCGGTACATGTATACAATGGAATATTACTGAGCCACCAGAAAGAATGAAATCTTGCCATTTGCAATGATGTGGATGGTGCTAGAGACTATAGTGCTAATTGAGGTAAGTCAGAGTAAGACAAATACCATATGATTTAACTCGTGTAGAATTTAAGAAACAAAACAAAGGGATGAGAGAGAGAGAAAGAGAGAGAGAGAGAGAAGCAAACCAAAAGCAGACTCTTGATTGTAGAAAACAAACTGATGGTTACCAGAGGGGAGGTGGGTGGGGGATGAGTTAAATAAGTGATGGGGCTTAAAGAGGGCATTTGCTGTGACGAGCAGCAGGTGTTGTATGGAAGTATGAAATCACTATATTGTTCACCTGAAACTAATAGTACACTACATGTTAACTGGAATTTATATTTATTTTATTTTTAAGTTTTTAAAATTAATTTATTTACTTTGAGAGAGAAAGATAGAGTGAGAGAGACAGAGTATTCACATGCACACAAGGTAGGGAGGGGCAGAGAGAGAGGGTGAAAGGGAGAATCCGAAGCACATTCCGCATTGCCAGTGCAGAGCCCAAATTGAGGCTTGAGCCCATGAACCATGAGATCATGACCTGAGCCAAAATCAAGAGTCAGATACTTAACCAACTGAGCCTTCCAGGATCCCCTGGTTTTTTTTTTTTTTTTAACTTTTATTTATTTAAGTAATCTCTACACACCATGTGGGGCTCAAACTCATGACCCCAAGATCCAGAATCACACGCTTTTCCAAGTGAGCCAGCCAGTTGCCCCAACTAACTGGAATTTAAATAAAAAGCTAAAAAATGGGGGTGGGGAAAGGAACTGATGCTGAATATCCAAAGTGGAAATGTAACTATCCATCTAAGTATTTCTTTCCCTTTTTAACTAAAAATAGAGTATTAGCCAATGTACAGAGAGATACGCTCTGAATTATTCTGACTACATTTCCAGCAAACAATCCCACCGGACTCTACCTCTCAACTTTTCATTCTGTACCAAGAAACTAAGTTCCTTCAATTCCTTTATATGCTTTGTACATAGAAGAAACATAGAATATTTGAGTAGGAAGGGAGCTTAGAGTGATGTAAGAAGCAAACAGGATTCTGGGGTAAGCCAGGCTCAGCTCTACGGGTTAATAGGTATGTGACGTTAGGGTGGTTGCTTTGCTTCTCTGTGACTCAATAGCCTACTCTTCAGAATAAGGTTAGCCCTAGTATCTGTGGGGTTACTATGTAACAGAAGCAAAGTGCTTACTTAGAACAGTGCCTGACATCTAATGAACCCTCAATAAATATTTAACTAGTGTCTTTCTTCCAGCACCTTCCATGGGGCTAGCACTGTGTTAGGTAGAATCACAGATAGCAAGAAGGAACCAAGAGCCAGCCAAAGTAATTGGAAGATCCAGATAGTGGATGGCAAATCATCTAATACAATCACAATAGGTTGGCATCATTTTGATTCAGTACCATATAACAGTAATAAGCAGCTATTTATTAAGGACTTACCCACTCCTATTATCTCATTTAATGTTCATAACAACCCTGTGTGTACCCATTGCATTGGATTACAAATAGCCATAAATTGTTTGCCATTTCTTCAATCAAGAGAAGGAGAGAGAGACTCCCAAGCAGGTTCTGCACCATCAGCACGGAGCCGATGCAGGGCTTGATCTCACGAACTGTGAGATCATGACTTGAGCCAAAATCAAGAGTCAGATGCTTAACCAATTAAGCCACCCAGGTCCCCCTGGCACTAGGTCTTAAAGAGCTCTGGCAGCTTCTGTTCTTGCTTTCTTGGAACCCAGCTGCCACGCTCCATGGAAACGAGTCTAGCCCGCCAGAGGCAGAAAATCCATGTAGAAAACTGAGTGCCCCAGCTGGTAGCACCAACTTCCAGTCATGTGAGTGAGGCCATCTTAGACGTTCCAGCCCAGCGGAACTTCCAGCTGAATGCAACTTTATAAGGGATCCTGACAATATGTGAAGCGGAGATGAGGCATCCATTGTCAATCCTGTTCGAATGGCAGAATCTTGAAAAAAATATATCGTTGTGGTTTTCAGCTACTAAGCTTTGGGTGCAATAAGTAACTGAAACACTCATATTAAGGATGAGAAACCGAGACTCAGAGAGTCTCAGCAACTTGTCTGTGGTCTCACAGCTAGGAGGTGGTATAGCTTGGATTCAAACCCGGACCATTCTGTGTCCAAATCCATGCTCTTGACCAAGGAATTAGATAATGCTTCCTATGAAATAGCCAAATTCTTTTTTTTAAGTTTATTTATTTATTTTGAGAGAGCTAGAGTGAGTTGAAAGGAGCAGAGCGAGAGGGAGAGAAAGAATCCTGAGCAGGCTTTGCATTGTCAGCACAGAGCCCAACGTGGGGCTTGAACCCACAAACCATGAGATCATGACCTGAGCTTAACCAACTGAGCCACCCAGGCTCTCCTGAAATAACCAAATTCTAAACAATATCTCATATGTTCATTTCTCTTCTTTCTCTATTTAGACATTACACGGGGGAGGCCGCATGCATCAAAGAGATAGCATGTCACACTTACGACCCTAGAGAATAAAAGCGTTAGAGCCGGTAATGTAACAAAGGTGGTCATTGCCAAGATCTCACTTTTGGAAAATCAAATCAGGCTGCCTCACTGGGATATGGGTACAGAGTGCTGAATTTCTTTCTCTTTTTATACATTAAAAAAAAAAAAAGATGTAAATGAACATGTTCTGCTCTCACCGTTAGGAAATCGGAGGAACATGAACACTTAGGGTGGTGAATAGAAAATGACGACAGGTGGTGGCTTGGCTCTGAAATTCTCCAGGTGGGGCATTCTGAGAGAAGGAAAAGAAAGCTTGCTTTCATTACAACATTTTCTGGGTCACAGAGAACTTTGAGGTTTTCCAGGAAAACTGGCTTATAAGTGTGTATTTTTCTAACAGGAATACATTTGTGTTTCAAAGTATCTTCAAGCCTACCATAAACCTATCATTTCCTGAAGTTCCTTATTGCCTGAAAAGCTGCTGGAGCCATTTCTTCAATAAGCAGGGGACACCTCCTCTGTGTAGGTCTTTAAGAACTCTTTGTATCAAAACCAGAAAGTGTTTTTGTTTCAATATGCAGGAACATCGGCCCAGAAGTCACTCATCCTGTGAACCCCAGAAGAGAGCCATACTGAAAAGAGATGAAGACAAGGACATTGAGCAGTTAAGATGATATGTCACAGGGTTTGTAAATTACAACTGGGTTTTTTGCTCATAGGTGACCTTCTTAGTCACTCATTTAAAGCCTATTTACTCTTATGTTATGCCCAATTCTAACGAGCCTAATGCTCCCATTTCCTAGCTTGCATAAGGTTAGAGGAATCAGATGGGAAAGTAAGGTACTGCCTGAGGCAGGAATCTTGGAGACAGAGAGAGAGCAAACAAACCAAGTGAGTCAAACAATATCACAACCTGGGGTGACTTTGCTTAGACACAAGTGACTATGGCCTCATGTGTTCTTGAAGGCATGAAAGCCACCGAATGCAATGTACATTGGGTATTCAGGGAAATGGCCCTCAAAGGTTAAATTGCATTTTTGTTTGAGAAGGCAGAGAAGCATATGAAACCTTTGAGAAACATTTTAATGTACAATAAACTTAGGAAAATTTCATGTGTCACACTTTATTCCTTTATAATCAGGGAGACGTCACTGTAATTTTAAAAGGCAAAACCTATTCCTAAGTGGAAACAGTGGAAACCACATAGACTTCTCTTTATTCACCACTAAAAGGTGGCCAAATGAGCTGTTTCACACAGGAAGACAGACAGAGCATGGGCATATTTTTATCCCCAGATATTTTGTGTTCGATCTATTGCAACACCGGCAAAGGAGTCAAAGAATATGGAAAGGTGAAATGATTCAACTAAGGTCCCTCAGGGAAACCATTAGCCCAGGCAAATCAAGGGGGCCAAGGGGAAGGGAATGCCTAGTACACGCTGGGCGCTCATTAACATTTGCAAAAGGAAGAAAGGAAATCCAAAGACCGTGAGCTGTTTGTGAGAAACATTTGTTCTTGGTTTTTTCCAAGACTCTCGGCTACAACAGAAGAAGAACTGTGGCCCCAGGGACACCAGTGGGCTGTAACTGTGTTGGGGCCCAATGCGACCCAAAAGGCAGGCTGAAACGCTCTCCGTGAAGTGAAGCAGGAGTCAGAACTCACATGCACCCCACATGATCAAAGGATGGCATTTACGCAGGAGGGAGGTTATAAAGTGTGTTGAGAAACTCCTAATACTACTACTTAGTATTTCCACAGCGCTTTCCCTCTTCAGAAGCGCTTTACAAACATTAACTAATTAAACCAGCATGACTTCTGGAAGGGAAAATTGAGCCTCTGCAATCTGTTTGAATTATCTGAAAAAGCTAATAAAATGAAGATATAACGTTCATGAAGAGGAGTACACAGAACTGTAAATAGCTTTGGGAGGGATTAGATATTGAAGTTTGGAGGTGGCATTAAGGAGCCTCAGAAGTTGTTTATGGCAACATCATGTCACTACCTTGACAGCCCCAAAGGGAGACCAAGTAGCAGACACCATAAAGCATCCTCCTGCGAACAGCCTGGGTGCCTGTGGCTGGTGTGGTCCCCTCTCCTTAAGATTCTTCTGTGTGGGGCTTGTCTGAACCCTGGATAGATAGGAGGAGGAGCCTGCATCCTGGATCAACCAATCTCTGTCCACCGTCTCTACAGAAGGGGCCTCAGAAAGAGGTGCAGGGAGCAGAACCCCCCCCCCCCCCACCGCCCGTGCCCTCCACCTACCAGATGCTCAAATATTTGGTGCTCCTGCTCAGTACATACGCATTTCAAAATATTCACAGATTTGAGACCCCTTCTTGGGAGGATGTATTTGGCATTGAAGCAAAAAGCATCATGTATAGCTGGAAGTAGGAGTTCTAGTAAAAGAGAAAGGAAACAGGACCAGGGTTTGGGAGACTGTACTATTTATTGCTCCAGCTGGGTGACTAAGAAGAAGATGAGTGACCCCAGACAAGAGCTTAGTCCATCTGACCTTCACTTTCTTTTCTGCAGGACAGGACCAGTGATCCTCTGGGGTCCTAGCCCTAACATTCTCGGAGTCTGTGGTCACACACGGCAGGCCCTAGGGGCGGTGGGTCCTTAGGTTGAGACTACTTGCTTTATGGCAGAGTCATCAGGCTGCCCAAATTACATGAGTGCTGCTGGGTATTTGGACAAGGCCCCAAAGAAAACACAGGTAAGTCACAGAGAATGGCTAGGCTGAATGCCTATCCATATGACAAGGTAGTCGGAGCAAAGGCTGAAAACTGGAGCCAAATTCTAGTCTGTGGTTTCATGTTTTGTGTGGTCCACATTGTAATTTTTTTTTTTTAATATTTGAGTTAGTTTTCAATGTTTTAAAAAATAAGGGGATTATACCTAAACACTTGAACTCCAAATCTCTCTTAACACATTAGACAACCTCATTGTACCAGACTAATTTTTTCCACCACAGCAATCAGCTGGAGATGAGAAGTGTCTGCCCTCCTGGAAGGTGCCTGTGCTCTCTAGCTCCCCACCGGGGTGGCCCCCTCCCCATTCCCACTGCCTGCCTGGTCCTTGAGGCACCAAAGATGGTGAGGATGTAGGGAGCAGTTGTCTGTTACATTGGGCTGCACGGGAAGCTGAGGGTGTGGGCTGCCATTTCTCTGAGGACCTAACAAAACTGGGGAGCCCCGGGATGGGTCTCAGGGTGTCACCACTTGCTGTTCCCGAAGAACATCTCACACCAAACTGCCCATCAAGGTTGTGCCATCAATGGAGTAGTTCGAACCCCGAGTCAGGTGAAGGACACTCTATGTGGTGAGAAGGGCCCTGAACCCAACCAAGCCCCACCCCTTCTTCTTTTGTCAGTTTGGAGATCCAGGCACCATGAGGCTGGGGAACGTGAGAGAACAGAATAGTCAAGTGCTGAAACGGTGAGAACATCACACTCACCCAACGAACACTTTATGGGTGGGCGAGCGCTTCATGTCAATCTTCCCCAAGACGGTGCTATTTTACAGGCGAGGTTCAGGGAGCCCAGAGCGGCGAGGCTCTAGGAAGCAGAAACAGAGTCAGGAGACCAGCCCACCTTCTCTGCTCCATGGTTGCCGTTCTCTCTTTGCACCCGGAGAGTCTGGGGCAGAGACTGGAGACTGGTGTTTACCCCACCAGACAGGAAGCAGCGAGAGAGCATGAGAAATGTCCATGGATCCTAAGGCCAGTTCTTCAGCTCTAGGAGAAGAGCAAAGAAGAAAGATAAAGACAATAAGTGATGGGAGGGCTCAGACCCCAACCTGCTTCAGTTTTGTGGGAAAGGAGAATTGAAAACAAGAAAACCAAACAAAAAATGATTCTGGCTGTCTACACAGAACAACTTACTTGATAGCGAATTGACCATTCTAGTTAAAATCTTCTTTGCAGGGGTACCCAGGTGGCTTAGTCGGTTAAGCGTCTACTCCTCTTGATCTCAGCTCAGGTCTTGATCTCGGGGTCATGAGTTCAAGCCCCTCATTGGGTTTCGTGCTGGGCGTGAAGTCTACCTAAAACAAACTAACAAAAAACAAAACAAAACCAAAAAAAAAAAAAAACCCACACATGAAATCTTTATAGAACAAATCTTTGCATACCACAAAGGGAGAGAGGGATGGAATAGCAGACTTACGATGATATAGCATAGGGGCTAAAAATCGGACAGACACCCCACTTCCCAGGCCATTTCTTCCAGTGGGTGCTTGGAGAACAGGAGAAGCAGAATGTGCCGATGGACAGAGAAAGAGCGTGGTGCCCAGGAGGGAGAGACATGATGGCTGTTGGTAGAGGGGATGAAATCAGCATAAGAAACCTGCTCAGAATGTCTGCCGACCTCTCCCTCGCTTTAAAACACCAGTGTGCCGTGCAAATAAAAATGGGCTCTCTCCTGTCCGGACTCTGCCCAAGCCAGACTACCCTGTTCTTACCACTTGAACACATCTCATAGTCCCTCCTCCCAGCCTGTCTCTCCAAGAGATCTCCTCTTCTTTCCCTGCTTCCTTGCACCTGCATTTGTCTAGGGCCTCCCCAAGCCATCTCTTTCCCCAGGTGCCATTTTTCTTTCATACCCTACCCAGGAGTTCTGACATTTGGCATCACTGCTGTTCCTCTCTGAGTTAACTGAACCTGCTATTGGTAATACAAATAGCGAACCCTAATAGAGTACCCTAAGCGCCTTGCATGGATTAATTGCTTTAAATCTTCACTGGAACTCTATGAAACAGGCGCTATTATTAGCCTCCTTTCACAGATGAGGAAACCAAAGCACATGGATTTGTCCAAGGCCAGCCAACTACTTAGTGATGGTGTACGCATTAGCCTGCTAGGGTGGCCGTAACAAAATGCGGCAGGCTGGGGGGCTTAACAGAAATGTATTCTCTCACAGTTCTGGAGGACAGAAGGCTAAGGCCAAAGTACCATAAAGGTTGGTTTTGGGCAAGACTCTACTTCTCGGCTTGTAGACAGCCGCTTTCCCCTAGGTCCTCATGCGGCCCTTCCTCCATGCTTTTGAGGAAACAGAGAAAGCTCTTATGTCTCTTCCTCTTCCTATAATCCTAATTATAAGAATCCTAATCCCATCAGGGCCTCACTCTTTTCTTGTCATTTAATCTGAATGATCTCTCTAACTACAGCCACATTTGGGGCTTTGAGATATGAATTTGAGCAGGGGATTGGGATACAGTTCAGTCCATAACAGTGTGATATGACTTTTTTTTCCCCCCGCTCATTGATTTACTGAGCACCTATTAATTGCCAGGTGTTAAGTGTCTGGAGACACAGCAGTGCAAAAGTCAAACACAGGCCTTGCTTCTTAGACTGTAAGCTCCCATCATCTAGGGGGAGAAAGGGACGCTAAACGAGGGACACGCCACGTCATTAAGCAATCGGATCACTTCGGACAGTGGGTAAGTGTTGAGGCGATAGTGATAGAGTGTGCTATTGGGCTCCTTGGGCCAAGCAAATGTGGAACCGGGGGAAGAGTTTCCCAGGCAGAGGAAAGATAAGTGCAAAAGTCCTGAGGCAGAAATATGTAGAAATGTGTGTTAGAGGAGCAGAAGGGAGGCTGGCCTGGCTGAGTCAGGGAGAGAGGAGGAGAGGGGTTTGGGATGGGAGGATGGGGCCAGGTCATAGACCGCTTCCTAGGTTGTGGGAAGGAGTTTCGTATTTAGTCTAAGAGCAATGGGAAGCCATGTGAAGGTTTGCATTCTGATTTATGCTTTCAAAAGACCCCTTTAGTGGTGTAAAGAAGAACTCTAGGAGGGTAAGGGTGCAAGCAGGGACCCCAATGAGGAAGCTCTTCATTTGTTCACTGAGCAGCTACCGGCCAGGTAACGTGCTGGCACCCACCCCGGGGAGCTGAGGGCCTCCCGTGTTGCAGGAGGAGGCTCCCGGACCTGGTGGTCCCAGCCCAGGGCACCTCCAACCTCCCATTAAGGTGTCAAATGGGTCAAGACCTCCCTGAAGGCTGAGCTCTGTGGCCCAGGCTGCACGTGGGGAAGGAAGGAAGGGCTGAGTGAGGAGAGCTGGTGTAGAGCACGACTTCTCTGCAGATATGGGGCTCGGCCGGGCATTGAAGGACGGGCGTCCCAGAGAAAGGGGTGCCTTCCGTCCATGGGGATAGGAGGAAAAGGCGCACAGGTGGAATGGAAACACCAGCAGCAATAGCACGGGCTTATTTTGTATAAAGGTTCACTCACCACCTACTCAGCTGAGCACATGCTCTGTCCCCCCGGGCCCGGGCTCTGAGGGATATGTACGGATGACTCAGACTGGGCTTCTACCATGGAGGGGTTTCCATCTAGCAAGGAGGATAAGGCAGCCCCATGATCACCTGTCACAGCCCAGAAAGTGAGGTGTCCCATCGGAGAATCAGAGACAGCACTGAGGGCCATGCCTGTCATGTCTAACTGCAGAAGCAGGGATGCACCCTTCCCTACCTACACATGCAGATGCGGACCACGCTTCATAGTCTCCGAGTGTCTTCACGTTTATCCACACGAGTGCCCTGTGAAGTATGCATAACAAGGGTGGCAGGTAATTCTGGTTTCCACGTGAATGCATGCGGTGCTCTCTCAGTGGGGACCCAACCAGGAACCCTGGCACCATGGCCACGCAACTCTCCACTTTCGTGACCCACCATCAGTGGAGGGCTGCTGGGGAACCGACACGCAGGCGGTGGCAACGAGGAGAAATGGGTAGACTCAGGACATCGTAAGACGGTCCGACTGGCAGGACCTGCTGTTGGATTGAGCTTGGGGGTGAGGGAGAGAGAGAAATCAAGAATGTTGCTAAGATTTACAGAGGACAGAGAAAATACAGATGGAGGGGTCGCGAGGGAAACAATTCAGACATAGCACTAGTCTGGTGACTAAGAGGCTGATTCTAGGCAAGCATTTCCTCCTCCGGGGCCTCAGTTTTCTCATCTGTAAGATAAAACTTTTAAGACCAACAACTAAAGTTGTGTGTGTGTGTGTGTGCGCGCGCGCACACGCGTATACCAAAATTTATGAAAAGGACATGATGACCATTCCTCAACATGAGACAGAGCACAGCAACATAACGGAAGGCCCTTGGTACGCCTGTTCCCATTGCACTCCCCCCTCCTCCCTCACCTCGGATGGAACCAGACTCCAAGCCATTGAATTTGGCATCTGTCATCTCTAGTCACCTTTCAAGGGTTAGTAATGATTGGGTTGTTTTCCTGCATCTTATGATTTCATAATGCCTCTCACTTTGGTTTTTGTACTGTTGATTTGCAGGTGACAGGAAGCTTCCATAGGAGGCTACCTCATCTGTTTTCCACTGACATCCTAGGAGAGGAGCTGACCGGGGTCGGTGCCCTCCAGCTTTTCGGAGGAGCAAAGTGTGGTTCACAGTGGGATATGCCACAGCACATCCTTGACCACATTTTCTTTTCTTTTTCTAAATTTATTTTTGAGAAAGACAGAGACAGAGAGCGAGTGGGGGAGGTGCAGAGAGAGAGGGAGACATAGAATCCAAAGCAGGCTCCAGGCTCTGAGCTGTCAGCACAGAGCCTGATGCGGGGCTCAAACTGTGAGCTGTGAGATCATGACCCGAGCTGAAGTCAGACGCTTAATGGACTGAGCCACCCAGGCCCTCCTTGACCACATTTGCAACACAGTTCATGCCTTGCTTTCTAATGCTGGTTCTCTTTTCATGCACATTTGTAACCATAACTAGACCAAGTTGTGGAGAGCAGGGATCTGTCCCCTGAACTTGTGACCAGTGTGGTGTGGTTACAGGGTTCAGGCTTCAGTCAAGGAAACAGTGATGAAGGGAAAGCAGGCCCACATGGTGGGGAGGTTTCTAAAGCCACAAACACAGGCAAGGGACGCAGGCGTTGGATCCAAGGAGAGGAATAGCACAAATAGTGCCCAGCGGAGTAATCAGGAAAGAGTGTGATTGATCAGGCACAATTTGGCTCTTATAAGCCCAAACCCTGATGTTTGAAGAGCAAAATAAATGACGCTTCCACTTGTCCATGACAACAAGCCCCCTGTGATCTAGGAGTAGAACATGTGACTGCAATATCCACGGAGTGGCCATTCCTCCCAACGACAGGGGCAAGACTGGGAAGAACCACAGGGTTGGGTCTTAGATGGGCAGTGCTGGTCCCTGAATATGATCACTAGCGCGGAGCAATGACATGCCTCTTGTCATTTAAGCTAACAAATAATAGGGCGCTATTACTTTTATTTCCTCTATTTTTAGAGCTAAGGCAACAGAAGTTCCGAGTGGTTAGTAACTTTCTCAGAGTCACCGACAGAGCAAATGGGGGAGTCAGTATTCAAACACAGATCTGCCTGCCTCCAGCCCCTTGATTCTTTTTTTTAAAATAGTTTTTATTTATTTTTGAGACAGAGGGAGACAAAGCATGAGCGGGGGAGGCCCAGAGAGAGAGGGAGACACAGAATCTGAAGCAGGCTCCAGGCTCTGAGCTGTCAGCACAGAGCCCAATGCAGGGCTCGAACCCACAGACCGTGAGATCATGACCTGAGCCGAAGTCGGACGATTAACCAACTGAGCCACCCAGGCACCCCTCCAGCCCCTTGATTCTTAACTGGATTTCCATGTCATCTCCTACAATGGCTCTCCTGTTCCCCAGTAAGACTTGGGCTCTGAACTATTTCTCTACCAGCCTTGTGAAGGTAGGTTTGCCCCAGACCCAGCCACTGGGACTGCGGGAAGACAAGGACTATTTTATTACCATCTCAAAGCCAAGCAAATCAGCATACGACCTTGGCCTCATTAGCAGGAGGCTTAATCTCCTCAGGTAGCCCATCTTGGCCAATTACACTTTTATTATAAGCAGCTGTTACGTTTGTGCTTCCCAGGTTACTCCTAGCTAAACCTGAGCAATGAAGCAATTGCAAGTACCGGAGGGATACTGACAATTAGCCAGCCCCAAGTTCAAGGGCAAAAACAGTCCTAAGGGCCCTAGTGATTCTTTAGCTCCAGGACAAATGCGTTTTTCTGCCACTAGACCTGCGTTCAGCTACATAACATTTTTCCAGGGGAAACGCACTTAGGGATAGAGCCTGTGTAAATATGTATAAAGACAGATGCGTATAGCAAATCAGGTTTTTTCCTATTCTGTGGGCTTTTTCCGCTGTTACAGAGGATCTCAAGTCTGACAAAATAGCTCCAGAGTTAATGTTCATCAACATGTGTCATAGGAATGTTAGAAATCTGGCTATGTTGTAATATTATATGTATTATATGTATGCATATAAAATTTATTTATGTCTTTTCAAGAGAGGAAACAGAAAGGAAACACGTTGGCCCAATGGAAAATAACTCAGATCTTATGGTTTCTAAGCTTTTAGGGTTTGATAATCAACAATACGATATTACAAACCTGTTAGGGTTTGCTATTCAATAATACAAAGCAAAAAAATAAGACAACTATAAATAAATCCTGTCTAGCTGATCTAAATTATAGGACTCATGCGGCTCTAGCAAACCCTCTTCCCCTAGCCACGGTGTGATTCTTCCTGATTGAGAATCGAGTTTCTGGGCTACTTCGCAGAGAATGAAATTACAAAACACAAGCTAGCAGATTTAAAAAAATATTGTCACCAGGTATCCCTGCTGGATATCAAGTGACTGGGTCAGAAACTCAGTCGGAAACTCTGCTTAAGGAAGAGCAGAACAAATCCCCCTCGCCTAGGAGGCCAAACAGAGCATTGTTTTAGTTCCGTGGGAGATAACGACAATGGAATAGAACATTGTCCTGGGTAATGGTCTCCTGCTGGTGGGGAAATGCGGAGGCAAAACCGAGGTGCTCAGCAAAAACAAACACGGGGCTGAACTGCTACCTTCTTTTTAAAGTAAAAACTGTTGATCCAGCAGGCGAGCCCCTCCCAGCGGCTTCCATTCGGTTGTAAAAGTCTTGCATTTGGAGGTGCTCGGGGCTGGAATGTTGCTGGGTGGGGGGCGGGGTACAGAGGCTAACTGAACTAGTGTGGCTGAGCCCCTCGCCTCAGAGATAGGCGTTGGGGACCATTTTGAAATTCACCAGCCGCTGGACAAAACAGGCTTTCCATAAAAACACAATCACTGCATCATGCTTCAGGACCAGCTGAGATCTCGCCTCACCTCTACTCATTTTAGGACTGCTGATCACACCGACGTACTTTGTATGGGTAAAGTTCCACATCCGTTGAAGAGAAAACCTTTATTTTGTAAGTATTAATCGGGCTGCCTGAAGAATGACACCAGGGATCCATTCATTTGACACAGAAATCAGTACCTTCCAATTTTTCCCCCTTGTAAAATAACACTAAATGTAGAGACTCTCTAATGTGTCCCTCAAAACAGAATTAAATCAGATAACAATTTAAAGGCAAGAAAAATGCAAGTAGAAAGTATTTAAAATGTGAAATTTTGGAAAATAAACATGGCTTCATGTTTGAGACAAAAATAAATGTAAATTCAGGACCAAAGTCATCCTTCAACCCACCAAAGCTTTTGTAGAACACACAGCTCAAACTCTACCACACAGATGGAAAACAGTCCGAATACAAGCTGGCAGTATTCTTTCATTCCACAAACTTCTACAATCTCCATTAAAGCTGCATGGCATTCAGAAGTTGAGGTCCAATTCATCTCTGCTGTTAATGAGACATTTTACAAGCGTATTTTCTTCTTGGGAAAAATTTTTGAATTGGGTAAAACAAATGGAAAATGGATATTTGAAAAAAAAAAAAAAACACCACCACCACCACAACAAAAAACTCCTGCCTGGACAGGTGATTGATTTGCTTAGAATTCTCCGGGCAAGCATTACATTTCCTGATAACTGCCATTTCCCTCCAGTTCCAAATTCTCTCTCCTTGGGGCTGACACAGGACACGGAAATACCAATTCATGATGGTGACGTTCCCTTCACGCATTTCAACAAGAGAATTATTTCGTATCAGCTGTCGGGGCGTCCCTCTAACTTTTGCCTTTCCTCTATGAGATCAGGTTTTTCTACAAAGAAGGATGCCAGATAGATTGCTAGTAATAGGAACTAGGTGTTCAGAGTCACAAACACAGTCTTTTGATGCTTTGCATGGCGACTATCTGTGTGTTTTAGTGTTGCTTAGTGAACCTGAATACCCAGTGGAGGGTGGCAATTTATTTGATCATTATTATTATTATTACTGCAGTAATTAGTCTGGTATTTCTAATTTAAAGACATTCATTAGGGGGAAAAAAACCCCAACAACTCAATGATGAGATGTTTCTGCCTTCAGTTACCTGTATGTGATTATCTCATCTTCCTCCTTCACCTTTCTGGGTTGATAAGAGCTCTTTGGTGAAAAAATACTCCAGTGGGCGATGAAAGGCATCAGTTAGTATTGAAGGTGCTTTGGAAATTTGGTCAGTAATGTAAATTACATCCTAGAAACCTTTGGTCAAGAGAATAAATGGGGAGCATAATAAGCAAGAACTAGTTTGAAGACCAGGAATAAAGTTAAGGGGGAGGGAAGTAAAAATTATGTAGGAACAGAAAAACTTGAAGTCGGTGATCTAGCCGCTAACGAACAAAGTTAGAAGGATAAGAATTTGGATTAGGCCGACTCGGTTCAAGTTGTTACAAATAATGGGGGAAAAGTAAAGCAAACAGTTTTCCGGTAAGCGGTAAGTCCCCAGGTACTCAGGGCTGGGCAAACGGAACGAGCTATGGAAAAGGGATGATGACGAGTAATAAACAGGAAGGTGCTGAGACACTTTGGGCAGTTCAGATCTCAATGCCTCCTCTTCCGCAGTATCTGAGTGCTTCATGCAAAATGAGGAACAATTACTGAATTCTGTCTTCATCTTACATGAATCTGGCCACGAGTTTTTACATCTCCTTCAACTTGTCAGCATACCTAAAATATTTGCTGGGCATTACACTGATCCCACAGCCCAAATCCTGTGCACCCTGATAGGTGTGGGAAGTCCAAACCTGCATCACTTTAGGACTTGCCCTAAAGCAGAGTTCTCCAGGAATGCACATTTTTCCTCCTGAAAATCTGCTTCAA